TTCTTCCTTGGTACAGATTTATGCCCTCTTCTGACATATTTGTGTAAGCCAGTATCAGTAAAACTTTGGTTTTACTTCAATGTAGAAACATGTTCCTATAGCTTAGCCTAAATGTTAGTTGAGGATTTAGCATTTCAGAAGTGAAGTCAGCTACCTATATGTTCTTCAGCATCAATCGCTGTGACTCCTCTACTGTTTGTTGTATGTTTAGACCACTTAAAAACTTCACTATTTTCATTTTTTTGTTTGTGGATGAGTTAAGGAATAGGGCTAAGTGGATATGCCCACTATGTTTTTAACACATTAATTTTTTATTGTATCTTGTTTTCAGTTTTGGGTCCTATGTTTTATCTATGGTTTTAACAAAGATGTTCATTGTGTATCTACAGATTTTTGTACTTTCATTAGTGTAAAAAACATACCTATAATATAAGCTTTTATGTAATTTTTAGAAATATTTTCTATCCTTTTAGAAAATGTTATACTGTATTAAAGATACTCAATTTAGGTGTGTATACTTATAATAGTACTTATGCCAATTAAGGTATGCGTAATTGGACCATCACATAAAATATGTCAAAATAATTACTGAGTTTTCCTGCGAAAGAAAGAAAAAGTGTAAAACAAAACTATACTCAAGCATCTCCATTCTGGCAGTGACATGTGGTGTCTTTTAATGATTAAAAGTGTGACTGTTGCCTGGCAAGCGCAAGGTCGTGAGTTCGGTTCCCGGTACCGGAGAAAAACCAAAAAAAAAAAAAAAAAAAAAAAAGTGTGACTGTTCAAAAGTTTGGTCCATTAACTCAATTAAATTATTAAACTAAACATAAAATACAAACTATGACATAATTTTATTAAGAATATCTTTTCAAAGTTCACATATATATATATATATCAATATATGCAAATGCATAGAAGAATCTATGTGTGAAAGTTAGCAGTGGGTTCCACTCCAGTATTTAGCACTAATTTTAGCCTTCTGTTCCATTTCTATTTTACATTACGAAATATTTCACATTTTAATAGCTATGCTAACCAATAATATTTATTAAATAGTAAACATAACAATTTAATAACAAGGAAAACATGCATTATTCACTTATTGGCAGAGAAAAACTTCAAGAAGCATAATGGTTAAATATCTTTTGTAAAGAAACCCTGTACATTTATAATGCTACATTTATAATTAGGCATATAAAATTATTAGAACCTATGGGACATAATGAAAGCAGTCCTAAGAGGAAGTTTGTTGTTATCAATGTGCACATACGAAAAACAAAGTGAGCTCAAATAAATAACCTAAGTGATGCATCTCAAGATACTCCAAAAACAAGAACAGTCCAAACACAAATCTAGTTTTAAGAAGGAAAATAATAAAGATCAGAGTGGAAATTAATGAAGTTTACAGGAAAAAACAATACAAATAATGAATCAAAGGGCTGATTCTTTGAAATCCTCAAAAAAATAAACAAAAACTTGGGCAAACTTATCAAGGACAGAAAGACTGATATCAATACAATTAGAACTGGAAAAGATAAAATTGCAATGGACACTGCTGCAATCCAGAAAAACATAGTAACTATTATGAAAAACTGTACTCCAACAAATTGGAGAATCTTGAAGAAATGGAAAGATTCCTACACACGCAGGAATTACTAAGACTGATCCAATACAACATAAAATTTTTGAATAATCTAGTAATAGGCAATGAAATTGAGGTAGTAATAAAAATCCTACCAACTAAGAAAAGCCCAGGACCTGATGGATTCACCACTGGATTCTACAAGACCTTGAAGGAGATTATAACAGCAACACTCCTCAAATTCTTCAATGAAATTTTGAACAGAAAGGAGGGCTTCCAATCTCATTTCTGGAAGCCAGCATCACTGTCATTCTAAAGCCAGAAAAGGACCTAAGTAAAAAAGAAAATGACAGGCAACTCTTTAACGAACAGAGACGCAAAAGGCCTTAATAAGATATTGGAAAATAGAATGCAACAAATCTTCAAAGGGATCATATATTATGATCAAGAAGGTTTTATCCCTATGATGCAAAGATAATTCAAATCAATAAAGGTAATTCATCACTAAACACACGATCATCTCAATAGATGGAGAAAAGGCCTTTGATGAAATCCAAAATCCTTTCTTGATAAAAACACTGAAGAAAAAAGGGAAAGCGGGACCTTTCCTCAATCTGATAAAAGCCACTTATAACAAACCAAGGCCAACATCATATTAAATGGGAAGAAGTTGAAAGTTTTCCCTCTAAAATCAGTAACAAGACAGATATCCACTATCACCATTTCTGTTCAATATAGTGCTCAAAACTTTAGCCAGAGTGATCAGGCATTAGAAAGAAATAAAAGGAATATACATAAGAAGGGAAGAAGTCAAATTATCATTATTTGCAGATGACAGGAGCCTTTACACAGAAGACTCAAAAAATTCCACCAAAAGACCCCCAGGATTAATAACGAAGTTCAGCAATGTAGGCAGATGCAAAAATCAATAGCATTCCAATACACCAATAATGAGCTCACTGAGAAAAATCAGGAAAACAGTACCACTCACAGTAACATCAAGAAAAACAGAACACTGAAGAATTAGCCTCATTAAGGAAGTAAAAGATGTGTACAATGGAAACTACAGTACTCTGAAACAGGAGATCAACTAGTAAATCAAGAAATGGAATAATAACTCATGCTCTTGGATATGCAGAACCAGTAGAGTCAAAATGGCTATAATCCAAAAACTAATAAACAGATTTAATGCAATTCCAATCAACAGTCTTCCTCACAAACTAGAGAAAACAATACTAAAATTTATGTAGAACTAGAAGAGACCCAGAATAGCAAAAGCAATCTTGGAGAATAACAGCAAAGCAGCAGTCATTACAACCTCACATTTCAAGTTATATTACAAAGCTATAGTGATAAAAGCAGCATGGTATTGGCATAAAAACAGACCTATGGATCAGTAAACAGAATAAGGAATTCAGAACCAACTCTATCCACACTGAGTCACCTAATCTTTGACAAAGGGACCAAACATGTACACTGGAGGAAAGACAGCCTTTTTAATAAATGGTGCTTGGAAAACTGGCTATACACATGCAAAAGATTGAAGATAGACCCTCATATTTTCCATCATGTACTAAACAAATTAAAATGGATCAAAGATTTAAATATTAAAACAGAAACAATCTGCTAAAAGATAAAATAGGTAAAATTCTTGAAGTCATGGTTTTAGGCAGGGACTTTTTGAACAGAATCACAATTGCACATGAAATAACATCAAGAATCAGCAAATGAAATCATATCAAATTTTTAAAAATCTACACAGCAAATGAAACAATGAAGAGACAATCTATACAATGGGAAAAAATTGCCACATATACCTTGAACACAGGATTAACATGTAGAATGTACAAAGAATGCAAAAACATTACACCCCTCAAAATAAAAAGACTCAATAAATAAATGAACAATTAAAATGAACAGGCATTTCTCAGAAGAAGTAGAAATGGCCCATAAATACATGAAAAAGTGTTCAGCATACTGGCTGTTAGAGAAATGTAGATTAAAAGAACACTGAGATTTCATCTTACTCCCAGAAAGAATGGCGAGCATCAAGAAATCAAGAAATAACAAATGCTGGAGAGGCATTTCAAAAAGGAACTCTCCTACATTGTTCCTAGTAATGTAAACTAGTACAACCACTATGGAAATTTGTATGGAGATTCTTCAAAAAACTAAAACTAAAGTTTTCATTCAACCCAGCTATTCTCCTACTAGGTATGTTCCCAAAAGAGTTAAAGATGTCATATTAGACTGGTATATGCATACCCATATTTATAGCAGCACAATTCATAACAGCCAAATTCTGGAAACAGTCTGTATGTCCATCAATAGATAAATGTGTAAAGAAAATGTATTTACAAACAATAAAGTACTCTCTGCCATGAGGAAGGGTAAATTTGAGTAATTTGTAGGAAAATGGATGCACCTTGAGGTCCCAATGTTAAGTGAAGTAAATTAGACACATAAGCTTGTATACCATATAGTTTCTCTAATATGAAAAACCAGGGGCTGGGGATTTAGCTCAGCGGCAAAAGCTCCTGCCTGGCAAGAGCAAGGTCGTGAGTTCGGTTCCCGGTACCGGAGAAAAACCAAAAAAAAAAGAAAAAAAAAAAGAAAAACCAAAAATATAAATAAGTAACAGAGTAAAACGAAAGATAAATGAAAGGAAACAGGGATATAGATCTGCAAATGGGAAGAGGATGTAGGGAGGGGGAAGAGGAAGAAGAGAAAAAGATACAAAAATTTAAAACGCATCATGAGGGGCTGGGGATTTAGCTCAGCGGCAAAAGCGCCTGCCTGGCAAGCACAAGGTCATGAGTTCGGTTCCCGGTACTGGAGAAAAAGCCAAAAAAAAAAAAATAAATAAATAAAACACATCATGAAATGTATCAAATACCCACAGTGAAATTAGTCATTATGTATTGCCAACATATACTAATAAATAAAAATAATTAGAACAAATACTCCAAAATAGCACTTTCTCTAGAAAACAATATATGGACAACTTTCTAGTGCAGTTTCCTCCATATTTTCTACCCATAAATTTGCTATCAAAATAATAATTTTTAGAAAGAATATACTTTACAAAAGGAAATACTTGTCAAATAACCAGCAACTGTGAAAACTTTTGTAATATCAGCATGTGTATTCAGTAAAACTGCCATAATCTTTAGGTGCACAAAAAATCTTACAATTAGGGAATATTTCCATGGTTATAATGACCTTTAATTTATGTTTATATAGTGCATATTCTAAATATTATATCAATGAGAATATTTTTAAAGATATGCCACCTGACATAGGCTTTTATGATCAACATGTGTTTGAAGTTTGTTTCCACAATGAGATGAATCTCAAATTTGAACGTAAGCTTCTCAAAAGGAACACAAATGAGGATCTCACAGAAAGGGTTACTCACTTCTTGTTTCACATGAATTCTGTAAGGCTGACGTGGAGATAGAATCATAGGGTAGCTTTCTGGTAAAGAGGAATGAGCCTTGTTGTTATTCTTTATCTGATAAAGCATATGCACATATGTAGGTATATAGTCCAATGGCTCGATCACATAACTGACATCCTCAAACTGTAACAATCCTCTATATGTTCAAACACAAAAAAAGAAAAAGAAAATGAGTATTTTCCAAAGAGAAATATAAACTGATGCTAAATATGTTACATCTATTTGATGATCTTTGCAGTCTGTTACCTAAGCACCCCCTATCATACTTAAATTTAATTTTTAATGATAAGAATGTAACTATAATATTCTGATTGGAACAAAAATATGTAAATTCTGATAAATACATATATTTAATATATACTCATGTATAAAAACATTTAATATACATTATAATATTAATCCAAGTACTATTTAAAAATTTTTTATACAGGCTTTTATACTGGCAAAAGCCTATGCTTTTATACTGCCAAAGCCTATGATTCTATGTGGAGGACCACCAGGACAGTTCTCCTTAAAGGAAGATCATTTGTCTCCATTTTGGCCAAACCTACCCCTAATTCCATGTATTGATATGTACGGAGCTGGCTAGGATATTTCCTTACCCCCTCAGTTGGCTTTAAGAAGTGCAAATGAATCTAGCATGTGCCCCTATGTCTTCAAGATTTTTACCTACTTTCTCTTCCAATAGATTTAGTGTTTTTGTTTTAATATTTAGATCTTTGATCCATTTTGACTTTAATTTAGTGCATGGTGAAATACATGGGTCTAGTTTTAGTCTTTGGCATGTGGAAAGCCAGTTTTGTCAGCACCATTTATTAAAGAGGCTATTTTTCTTCCAGTGAATGTGTTTGGCTCCTTAGTCAAAGATAAAGTGGCTGAGTGTGTCTGGAACTGTTTCTGCACCTTCTAATCTGTTCCACTGATCCGTGGGTCTGGTTTTTTGCCAGTACCATGCTGATTTTATCGCAGTAGCCTTGTAATATAATTTCAAGTTCAGGGTTTGTGATGCCCGCTGCCTTGCTTTTGTTGCCCAGAATTTCCTTTGCTATTCTAGGTCTCTTCTGGTTCCAAATGAATTTTAGGATTCTTTCCTAAGTATGGTCATTTTTACTATATTGGTTCTTCCTACCCAAGATCAAGGGATATCTTTCTTTTTCCTGATATCATCTTCAGTTTCCCTTTCAGAGTACTGTATTATTCAACATAGAGGTCTTTTAGATCCTTCATTAAATTGATTTCTAGGTACTTTAATTTTTTGGATGATACTGTGAACAGTGTTTTTTCCCCTTATTTCTCTCAGTGAATTTGTTGTTTGTGTACAGGAATGCTATTGAGTTTTGAGTGTTGACTTTGTATCCAGCTATGCTACTCAAATTTGGTTAATCTTAGGAGTCTACTGATGCAGTTTTTGGGGTCTTCTATGTAGAGTTTCATGTCCTCTGTGAATAATGATAATTTAACTTCTTTTCCTATTCTTATTCCTTTTCTCTTTCTTGTTTAATTGCTCTGGCTAATATTACCACAATTATATCGACTAGAAGTGGTGATAATGAACATTCTTGTTTTACTCCTGATTTTACATTGAAAGCTTTCAGTTTTTGTCCATTTAGTATGACGTTGGCCATTGGTTTGTCATAGATGGCTTTTGTCAGATTGAGGTAAAGACCGTCTATTCTGAATTTCTGTAGTTTTTATCATCAGTGGGTGCTGGACTCTGTCAAAAGCTTTTTCTGCATCTCCTGAGATGATCATATGGGTTTTGTCCTTGGCTCTGTTAATATGGTGTATTACATGTATTGATTTATGTATGTTGAACCATCCCTGCATCCCTGGGATGAATCCAACTTGGTTATGGTGTATAATTTTGATGATCTGCTGCACTGTTTGTAGGGCCATGTTTATCCAAAATGGACACAAATGCTCTTCTTTCAAGGAGAGCTGACCTGTTGGTCCTTCATAGCTCTACTTCTCAGAAGAATATAAACTAATTTTGAAATATTTTAAAAATTTATTCTTTTTTCAGACAAGGGTCTCGCTATGCAGTTCAGGCTGGCCTTAAGCTCACTTTGTACACCAGGCAGGTCTTGAATTTGCAACAATCCTCCTGCCTCAGCCTCCTGAGTGCTAGGATTATAGACGTGTGCCACCCACCTGGCTAAAATTCATTTTTAATCAAAAAAATGTATTTGTCAGGTACAAATATTGTTTAAAAACAGGTGCACATTGTTGAATAGCCAAATGGAGACAATTACCATAAATGTTATCTCACATAATGATTTTTTGCGGGCGGGGGGAGACAGCATTTAAAATCTACCATGTCTCCAATTTTCAAAGGTAAAATTAACAACTACTAGCAAGTTATTAGTAAGGCTCAAGTAACACAATGAATCTCTTGGACTTATGCTATCGCTCAACTTCTGTATACACTGACCATTATCTCTTTCTTTCTCCACATGACCTGATCATTATCATTTTACTCTTCACTGCTACAAGAATGCTTTTTAGTTTTAGAGAAAGGCAAATTAAAACAACCTCATGTTGTACTTTCTTTTGTTAGCTTTGAATAAAATGTTCCCCAACTTCATGCATGTTGTGGCATATTACAGGGTTTCCTTCTTTTATATCTATATACTATTTCATATTATATGTTTACTACATTTCTTTATTCATTTACCCACTAATGGACACTTAAATTGATTCCATATCTTGCAAATTTAGTGTAATGTTTCCATGAATATGGGAGTGTAGAAATCTCTCATATATTTTGATACATATCAGAGAGGAAGAGGAGTTACTGGGTCATATGCTAGATCCACATTTAGCTTTCCTGAAGCAACATACTATGTTCCAGAATAGCTGTATGTATTTAGTTTCAAGAACATTGTGCAAGGGTTCCTTTTTTCCACAACCTCTTCAACACTGAAATGTCTTTTTGAAAACAGCCAGTTGAATACGTCTTAGGTGATATCTTGTGTTTTTGATTTGCATATTCTGAAGATTAGGGATGTTTTATATATTTTATGTACTTGTTATCCATAAAGTTTTTTTGTTAACAAAACTATTTCTTTGCATACTATTGTTTGCGTGAATTCTCTATGTATTTTGGGTATGAATTCCTTTTCAGAGATCCTCCCTTCTACGAGTGATCTCTTCACTTTGTAAATTGTGTCCATTGCTCTGCAGAGGCTTATCAGTATGATTTCATCTACTTGGTTATTTTTTGTTTTTGTTACCTGTAATTCTAGGGTCAAATAAAAAGAAATCAAAGTAATGTGCCCAAAGGAATGTCCCAAAACTTTTCCTTATGTTAAATTGTATGTTGTATGGTTTCCACTCTTACATTTATCCCTTTAGTACATTTTGAGATGGCTTTTTTATTTATTGTGAGGTTTGACTTCATTTTTCTGCAAGTGAGTATGCAGTCATATCAACATTACATATGGAAGAGCATGTACTTCTCCTATTCTGTGCTCTTAGCACCTTTTCAAAAGTCAATGGACTTCACCAGTGTGCATTTAATTCTGGGGTTTCTATTCTGTTTCATTAGTCTGCAAGTTAATTTTGTTGTCAGTACAATACTGTTGTGATACCTATAGGCTGGTAATATATTTACAGTCAGGTTGTGTGATACCTTCAGCTTTTGTTTGCCACACTAATTGCTCCATATCAATTTTAGGAGTTTTTCTTTTTTATTTGTATGGATAAATACATTGAGATTTTGATGGGAGTTGCACTGAATCTGTAGATTTCTCTGGGTAATATGAAACTTTTAGCACTAATTCTTCCAATTCATGAACACAGAATATCTTTCCAATAGTAGTGTCTTTTTCAAATTTTTCTTCAACATTTCATAGTATTCAACGTGCAGGTCTTTCACTTCCTTGGTTCAATTTATTCCTTAAAAATTGTATTTTGTAGTAGATAATGCAAATCAAATTGCTTGTTCTATCTCCTTTTCAGATAATTTTTGTAAGGGTATAAAATGGCACTGATTTTATATGCTGAATTTTCTTCTGCAACTTTACCAAATCCATTTATTTACTTTTAAAATTTTTGGTACAATCATATATAGAGACTTCCCTCTCTATATATATATGGAGAGAGTAAGGGGGAGAGAGATTTACCTGTGAATAATATAATTTCTTTTCCAATTTAGATGTTTCTGTCTTTCTCTTGTTTGATTTCTACAGCTAGGACTCCTACTACTATGCTGAACGGAAGTGATGATAGTAAGCATTCTGTCTTATTCCTACTCTTAGAGGAAAGGATTTCTACTCTTCATGGTTTAGAATGATGTGAACTGTATAACTGTCATATATGGCTTTTAATTGTTGAGACATATACGACTAATTTTTGTCACAAAAAGATGATGAATTTTTCATCTGAAACCAGAAGAGGTCCAGAATAGCAAAGGCAATCCTGGGCAACAAGGACAAGTCAGGTGGAATCACATTCCGTGACCTGAAATTATACTACAAAGCCACTGTAATAAAATCAAAATGGTACTAGCTAAAACACAGACTGGAAGAGCAATGGAATAGACTGGAGGTCATAGACATAACTACAAACACACTCAGACACCTAATCTTTGATAAAGGGGCCAATCAAACTCACTGGAAGAATGACACCCTCTTTAATAAATGGTGCTGGAAAAATTAACTTGCCACTTGCCAAAGACTGAAAATAGACCCAATTCTATCATCATGCACCAAACTCAAGTAGAAATGGATCACAGATCTTAATATTAAAACAGAAACACTAAACATACTGGAAGAGACAGTAGGAAAAAACCTTGAAGACATAGGGGTAGGTAAAGAGTTCATGAACAAAAACCAAACTGCCTATGAAATACATCAAAGAATCAACAAATGGGATCTCATCCTACTGAAAAGTTTCTGTACATCTAAAGAAATCATCAGCAGAGTAAAAAGAAAACCCACAAATTGGGAAAAAATTTTAGCTGACTGTCCCTCAGATAAAGGGCTTCTATCTAGTACATATAAAGAATTAAAAAATATCAGCCCCCCCAAATTCAAAGACCCAATCCAAAAATGGGCAGCTGAGATGAACCACACTTCTCAGATAAAGAAATACAAGTGGCAAATAAATACATGAGAAAATGTTCAACATCATTAGTCATTCAAGAAATGCAAATTCAAACAACACTGAGATTTTATCTCACCCCAGTAAGAATGGCTAGCATTAAGAAATGAACCAATAACAAATGCTGGCGAGGCTGTGGAGAAATAGGAACCCTTCCCCACTGCTGGTGGGAATGCAGACTGGTGAAACCACTGTGGAAATCAGTTTGGAGATTCGTCAGAAAACTAGGTCTAGAGGTCCCATTCAACCTAGTTATTCCCCTTCTGGGTATTTCCCCAGAAGATCTGAAAACAGCATATCACAGCGATACATGTGCACCCATGTTCATAGCGGCACAATCTGTAATTGCTAAATTGTGGAAGCAACCCAAATGTCCATCCACTGAGGACTGGCTAAGAAAATTGTGGTACTTTTATATAATGGAATATTACTCAGCTGTAAAGAAAGATAAACTCGAGGCCTTTATATTTAAATGGTCACAACTAGAGACCATACTCATAAGTGAAATAAATCAGACCTGCATGTGTAAGAATCATATTGTCTCACTAATTTAAGACCTGAAAGAGTGAATAAAAACTAGGAGATATGATAGACACTGTGAAACTAAAGGAAAACGCTCAAAAGTAAAGAGCAACTGGGGTGTGGGAAAAGAGAAGGGAAAGAAGGGAAAATTATGTATGTATGTATATACAGGATAGCTAACATAGTTGTACTACTGTCATCTGTTGCTCTACAGAAAGGAATGGTTAATGATTACTTGTTTGATCAATCTTGTCTCTATTTGTTTTCCTGAGAAACCACTTTGAAGATATCAGTAAGTAATACAACAACCACTGTTAATTTCCTAACTTTGACTGTAACTCTGTTTTGTTTGTATTGTTACTATGATATTTTGTAAATGGACGTCTGTTTGTTAAAAGAAAGATGATGAATTTTGTCAGATTCATTTCTGCTTTGCATTTCTGCTTTTTCACCTTCATTCTCATCAAGTTATGTATGGTATTTATTGCTTTGCTTATGTTGAACCATCCTTGCTTCCAAGAGATAGACCCCATTCTGACCCAATGAATGATTCATTTGATGTATTTGTGAATTACATTTGTTAATATACTGTTCAGGATTTTTTCATGTATGTTCATCAGGGATGTTAGCCTACTATTTTCTTTTCTTATACGTTCCTTTACTAATGTTGGCATCAGGACAAGGACAGCCTTGTCAAAAACAGAAATGCATACATTCCAAATCTTTTTTTTTCTATTACAGCATGTAGGAGTAGTTGGGGCTCGTACAGTAGCTCTCTTAATGCCAATACATGGCATGGAACAATAAAGAGAAAGAAGTAAAGAAAATGTATAAGAAATACAACCAAAGTCCATATTTGTTTGTTTTCATTCTACCTTGGAAACATTTCTGAAAACTAAGGTGCCATTCAAGATCTTTACATGTGGGGGCTCTGGAACATGTCATTACCTGAGTCCAGCACAGGTACTTAGTACCACAACGGATTTTGGAATTTCTGCTGCATATCCTTCATAAAAACAATGGTCCTAAAAAGAAATATAGGAAGATATACTCATGAATGTTTTACAAATTAAGTCTTGATTTCAACATGATTCCTAGATATTATCCACTGAGATATTCCATTCCACTTTTTCTGTTGCAATGCTTACCTCTTCACCCTCTTATGTCTATTGATAATCACGATTCCCATATTCCCTCAAGTCATTCTTGCTGTAATTCTAAATCTTTGAAAAGCACCTCTCAAGTGCATCTTTTCTTTGATGGTCAGATAGCTTTAACATTGTGTTTAACTGCAATCTCTATACAATTTACTACATTATTCTGCAACTGTGAAATTGTTCATTTTTTTTAGTTACCCCAAAGAATCTTACTTGCTATTTCTTATCCTTGATTTCTCTTTAACATCTCACTCTAGAGGAAGCTGATCATTCCTAGTTTACATTTCTTCCTTGATGACTTTATAGTATTTCACTTTCCTGAGTGCTCCCCTAATATTCTCTTCTAGCTTTCCTGGCATTTCCTTTAAATCTAGTGACATCTAAAATCAATTATATTGATTTATTAAACCTAAACTGAAAATTTTAGTCTCAGGGAATTCTATCTCATGAGTTGGTCTGTAAGCATCTCCATCACTAACTATTCTCTTTTCCTCTAGAGGCCTAGCCTATTACACACCCCTACTGTGTGTGAAGAGGTCCACATTCACCATCAGTGACAGTGAGCAGAGCCTAAGTGGGCCAGTCTATCTTATGCCCAACACACACTGATAGCAGTATGTTTCATCTAAAATTACCATAAAACCCATCTCTGAGCATAGAGGAAACATACACCTTGCTTTTTGCTAAGCAAGAGCAGGAAACACCACCAACTCATTGATATCAACAGGACCTGTAGCCAGAAGCCCTTCACAAAGTGGTAGAAAGAAAACAAGGTGCTACCCCTCAGCTCAGGGGAGAGAACAGTCTAGAATGGAGCTTTTTTCCTTGACTTTGCTGGCAGATCATCATGAGGTATTCCCCAAGCCAAGAAGTAAAGATATTCCCCAAAGTTCTCATAGTAGCTTTCTCGATGCAGTGCTCAGAGAAAAGTTATAAATAAAGCACATGAACACCAGCAGCTAAAAAGCAGTCAGGGAAAATGTTTTTAATCTCATGGATCTTTCAGTACCTACCTGTACCAAACAACACCAGAAGAGCCCTGTAGCCTAACAGGTGGAACAAAATTGCAAGAAAAAAGGTGCTACTGCAGAGCTAGAAGAATGAAGCTCATATATTGCTAATCCTGAGAACATAACCTGTCACTCAAAAAGCAGACCACACTAAATCTAAATTTAAACTGGAATACTCTCTTCTAACAGAGAAATTTCAAGCAGGATTAAGTGTTTCCTTATGCAGTTGTTATAGAGAAAATTATTCATATCTCTTAAATATAATGCATATCACAGTAAAAATAAAAATCACAACCAACCAATGCCCATAGTGAGCTAACTAGTATCTTGGATTTATGAGAAAAAGGTTTTATGGCACCCACAAAAACTGCATCAGTGAACAATTACACATCTCCTAAAGAAAACAAATTAATAACAATCTAAGTATAGAAGCAAAAGCTACAAGACATATAAAAATGCAAGAACCTAAAAAACACAATAAACAATTCAATCATACACTACACTAAATAGTACAGTGGAGATAACTGAAGATAGAAATCAATCAGCATATCAAATATAATTTAAACTTATTCAGTCTAAAAAATAAAGCAAATGAGATAGGTAAAATTCATAGCGCCTCAAGGACTAGTGGAACAACTATCAAACATCCAAAATGTACTTAAAAATCCTAGAAAGAGAAGAGAAAAATGTGGCATTGAAAACATATTCAAAGACATAATGGCTAAGATTGTGGTAAAAAAAGAGCAGGAAGCCTCAGTTCCTCTTCGCATCAAAAACTCACTATACAGCTCTAATTCATGCTTAAAAGCCCCAAGCAAACAAACAAACAAAAACTCTTTGTTGGCTGGCAGAAACTAACTGGAATATCCTTCCTTCCCTGGTGAATGAAAACCAGACTTACTGAAACAAATAGGGCCTTGTTTCAGGACCTTCAGTTTCTGGAGATGGTGCACCAAAGTCATGACAGGAAGAGAAGCCTATTCCAAGCTTCTTCCAAGGAAGGGAGAGTTTGTCTGCATGTCAGGGACAAACTTCCTTGAGGGAGCTGTTCAAAAGCTAGTGTTTGTCTCAGCAGTCCTGAAGCTCTAATTATTCTGGTGCTTTCAAGCCACTGGGTGACAATGAAGGAAGCAGGAGGAATGGAACAGGTTGTTGATCTTTACCCCTGCTAAGCACAGAGTGAGTGGGGGTATAAAGAAAAAACACTTACTGAAAGAAAGATATAAAATCAAAAGACAAAAACAGTATGAGATAGAAGTCATGAAGCTAAAGAATATAATATATTAAGGAGAAAATTCACAAGAGGGATTCATCAGCAGATTCAAACAGAATAAAGGGTCAGTGAATTTGAAGAAAGGTCTTTAGAAATAGAGGTTCAAAATAATTAAAATGACAAAGGTCTACAGGATTTATGAAGCATTACTAGTGGACCAATATACACAGAATTCAAAACTCACAAGGGGAAGGGATTGAATATTGGAAAGATTATTCAGAGAAATAATGGATGAAGAGTTAGCCATTGTGGTGAAGGAAATTGACATAAAGATTCAAGAAACCCAAAGAATACTATATAAAATAAATGTGAAGAAGCCCACATCTACACTCACTATACATAAACTGTAAAGAGTTAAATACAAGGCAGAGTTTTGATAGCATTAAAAGATAACTCAATATGTACAATGAATGATCACAGGACTACTAGAGGAATTTTCAGTAGAAACAAGACAAGCCCAAAGGGAATGGGATGGTCTGTCCAAACTGCTGAAAGGAGAAAAGACTCCAACCGAGACTACTATATGATGTAAAACTAACTTTAATAAACAAAGCAGAGATAAAGACTTTCCCAGAAAAACAGTGATGGCATCAGTAGTGTTATGGTTTGTATCTAGACATCCCCCCAAAACCTCATGCAGTCAGAGTTTTTTGGACACGGCTGAATCTAGAGTGTGTGCTTGATTTGTAATGCAATACTAGGATTAAGAGTGCTGGGATTAATGGCGGGTGATTGCTGGATCAGTCCACTGGTTGGATTGGCACTGCTCTAATCCTGGTAGATTGGATACAACATAAGGGGCAGAAAGAGGCTTCTCTCTTGTTGCTTTTGCTGTCTTCCACTGACATGAACTATTGCCCCTCTGCCATATGCCACCTTTCCTTGGAGCCAGCTGATTATGGACTGAAACCTGTATAAACTTTGGGCTAAATGAACCTTTCCCCCTTTAATTTTGGGTGCCAGGCAATATGAAAAGGAATTCTTAAGGATGAAATGAAAAGACCGTAAACAGGAATACAATTACATAAAAATATGAATTACATTGGTAAAGGTAAATATATAAACATGGAATATTATATTATTATAACAGTAGTAGTTAAATCACTTTTAATTCTACTAGAAAATTTAAAAATACAGAAGTGGTAAACTAACTATATCCAAAACATAAAAAAATAGGAATCATGAAAACATTAAAGTAAACTGCAGGAGGAAGGGGAAGTTAATATAGAGAAGATCTGTTTACAACTTAATTTAGTTTGCTAGTTTAAAATACATTGTTACAACCTTCTGATGTCTTATGTAAACCACAATATAATCCAAAGATAGACCAATATATAGTTACATAGACAGATATGTAATTATGTATATATGATAAAAAAAGAACTCAAAGTATAGCAATACAAGAACCAAAAAATAAAAAAAGAAATCAAAGGGGCAATATCAAACAGCAGATGTTATGGCCTCTATCTAGACATCCCCCCAAGCATTATGTGCTCATAAGTGGGGCTTCTGGTAGGTGGCTGGATCATGGGTGTATACTAGATTAGTTCTCTGATGTGTTTATAGCTGGGTGTGCTGTTGGGAGGTAAAATCTGCTAGGAAGAAGTGAGTCACTGTGGGTGTGGTTTGGAAGGGTTATATATCCCTCGTCTTCCCTTGAACTTTGTTCTTCTTGTCTGTCATGCTATGAAATGTTTCTCCTCTGCCATTCTCATCTTCCATGTGGCCCTGTCTTGAAGTCAGCTGACTACAGTCTCAAACCTTTACAAACTGTGAGGTAAAATTAACTTATCCTCCTTTATATTGTGGGTGTTGGGTACTTTGTCCCAGCAACTCGAAAATAACTAAGATAGCAGAATTTTAAGAATAGGGTCTCAGTATGTACCTCTTTGGCAGAGCACTTGTTTAGCAAGGACAAGATCCTAGATTCAATCCCGAGTATCACAAAAACCAAAGGAAAATTAAAATTAAAATTAAAAAAAAACAAAATGTCTATCACAAATTCTTTCCTATGAATAAGGGCTTGCAGTGTAAATAAAATCCTGAACTGAAACCAATGGATTGTAGGGCCTAGGGATATAAATCAGGGATATATCACATGCCTAGCACTTGGTCAATCTCTGGTAGCACCAGCAACGGCAGTAACAACAACAACAACAACAAAAAGAGCCAAAGAAAGAAAAACATCTATGGGGTGCTGAACAGATACTTAAAAAAGGATAATTTTATACAAGAAAATGACTATAGATTTAAGGAAAAATGTAAACTAAAAGTTAATAAATAAAGAAAGGAATTGTGTATAATTTTAACTAGGGATTGGAGTGCTATTATGAGATAGTGGATTCTGTCAAAAGCTATCACACTAAACATAGAAGATTTTGTAATTATAAAAGAATCAAATGATAATGAGTTGTAAATATTTATGTACTTCATATAAAAGCACTCCTATATATAACACGAAAAACTGAGCAGAGAAACAGCAATACAGTCATAATAGATCACTTAAATTACTTTCAGTAAAGCACAAGACATTCTGCCAGAAGATTAATAAGGAAATAGAGAACTTTAATAATTACATAGGCAAA